ATTGGCAGCTTCTGTACTATTCCTTAGTATTGTGTAGCCCATACTCTTTCATGCCCTTTGCTTTTGAAAATTGTTTGCTGAATCAACTTTCAAATTGTTATGAAAACCTAAACCTCTTCTGATCTACAAATCTTAGGTATGTAAGTAACTTAAAAAGAAAACCTTTAGCAATTAGAATTTGGAAACAGATTCCCTGATTCAGTAGTGTGAATTTCTAGGTGGTAACTGTTGTGAAAGAGATTAAGAATCTCTTAGTTACAAAACAGAGGGATCAAAAGATAATGGATGGACATGCACAAAGTGGGTTTGAGATAATATTAAGCATTCTTTTTTTCAAGAAAATGCAGACTTTGTTCAGTTTACCAGATTACAGTCATAAGGGTGCGGATTTGGGAGTAGGTCAGAAATTTTCTCATGGGGAACCTATTTTGTCAAAAAATGCTGGTGTGATTCAGTTAAAATGCTCTGTGGGAACCCTGTGAAAACTCTTGATGGAACTGATAAAACCACTTTGGTGCCTGCCTGCGGTGGTGGAGCTGCCGGCTCCTGGCAGGCAGCCGGGGGGCTGCGCCATGCCGGGGCTCCTGCTTCTCGCGCTCCCAGGCTGTGGGGCCACATGACCTCCCTCCCTCCGCCTGGGGGTGAGTAGGAAGCTGTTCTGAAACTCCTGCTTCTGTCTCTTAGCTGGAAAAAAAAATTAATTTCTTTAAGTTTTTTTTCTTGAGATTGAGTTGCTCTCCAAATCACTTGGAGCGGGACTTTTCTTTAACTTTGCCATGGTTTGGGTGTGAGAAGAGAATGAGGCGGGGAAAAGAGAGGTTTTAGTGGGGATGCTTTGCAGGGTGAGATTTCTGCTTTACAGCAGGAACTGGTAGGGACTGAAGGAGGGCGCTGAAGGGCTACGTGCACAGATGGTGATAGACCGTACTGTACCAGTCTGGGAAAATGATTAATCAATACCACAGGGATTTATTCTAGTATTTAGTTCTTTTAATTTAGCCTTCTGTTTCTCTGCTCAGGAGTTCTGTAAGAGAATGTTCTAAATGTGATGCTGATACAGAGTCCTGGTGATTTTCGAAAGTAATCAAAACAGTTCCCCAACTGTTTTTTAGCTGGATCTTGTTGTAAATGGCAGTGAAGAGAACAAATGTTCTATCCATGTTTCTAATTGCGAGTTGCATAAATATGGCTCAGATTTTAATGAAGGGGACTTGGGGAAGTAATACTGAGGAATAGTGAATGATAAGTGAGCAAAACGTTTAATGCACATTTTTCATATTTCTGTTGCACTTGCATTGCTGTAGGCAACCTTCATTCTGATACTTTCCAAGTTTTGAGAGCTTGCCTCAAAACTTGGGAACTTTATTGATTTCTTGGGACTTTATTGGTTTCTTTAAAGGAAGCCTGTAACTTCATAAATCTTGTTTTCAGTAAAACTTAAAAGAAAAAAATAACCACTTGAAGTGTCATTATTTACACCAGTGTAATTCATTAATAGAGTTGGAACTTTTAGGTTCCTGATGCAGATCTTTTCTTCATGAGGTACTGGAGGATGTTATCACCCTTTATGGAGGATCAGTGCTGGAGGAAGAAAATGTCTTCCAGTGAGCACAAGGCTACTTCCCTTTTTCTCTTTATCTCTTTAATGTTAGTCACCTTTCCGCTCCTTGGCTTCTCCTCTTTGTCCTGTTCTGTTCCCTCACCCAGGTCTAGATTTTACTGCCCTGATTTCTCTTAGTACTTGCTGCCTTGAAGTTTTCTGCCTAAGCTAGAAACTTCCACCCCTCCAATGCTCAGTTCTAATACATCTCTTAGGCATTCCCTTCCCCTCGTGCTCCTTGTCCAAAATGAGCCATCTTTTCTCCTAACCATAGCATGAAAGCTTCCTCTTCAGGATGTGCTTCCATTGCCTCCCTAGTTGTTTCAACCAGTGGTAGTTCATCATATCTATGTTTTCTGCCTTCTGCCTCATTTAGCTCTTCAGTCTGTCTTCCCTCGGTCCTGCTTGGCTGTTTCCCAACCTGCTCGTGGCAGTGCCCTCTCCCCATGTACACGTGCTTTCCCTGGTCAGTTCTTAAGATTGTCCTGCCTCTCTCTTCCCATTTCTCCTTCATGCCCAACTGCTTTCCTGGCTCTCTTCATTCCCTTTTCCCCACTGCCCTGGGTCTGTGTGTCACCCGCTCAGTGTTTGAATGTCGTCTTCCACTGTGGATATCAGTGACGAAGTAACTGAGGTTGCTGGAAAGGTAGACCTGAAGTGCATGTGGGGGCTCTACCTCAATCCAGTGGGAGCTGTACTTACAGGACAAATAGCCTTGAGCCAAAGAACACTTGCATGTCCCATCGAAATGGCTTGTAATGGAACCTGATCTGTGTGGGAGTACAGAGCACATCTCCAAAATCTTCAGAGATGTTAGTCAAATTCTTCAAAATTTGTACTCTGTAAATAACTATGTTGGAGGCAGGGAGATCTTGTCACCCAGCACTTAAGGGGCAGATAGGTTCTTTTAGACATCCTTGGCAGAATGATGGCAGCACTAAATTGTAATTACAGTTAAAGCTTTATTTTCTTAACATGATGTTATGATCAATATAGCACAAAATTTATTATTAGAATGGCACAGGATTTCACAAGCAGAATCAGTATAGTCCAACTTACTAGTAGCATAATACAGAATTTGTAATGCAACTTAACTTATAATTTCTCGTCACCTGAACCCTCTGCAGATTGGGTCAAATCTTAACACATGGTTTGCTGTATCAATATAGCAGTTATAATCGAGACTCTAAATTCATATAAAAGAAGACAAGTCACTCCCTCAGTCCTTGGAGAAAGCAGAGGATGGTGGAGGCATCCCTGGCCACGGCAGGCCCTGGGTCTCACTGTCCAGCAGCAGCTTCAGTCCAAGTTCTCCCCTTGGGACTTATAACGGCTTGATTTTTCTAGACAGTGCTCTGCATGCTGTTAGTCTTCCCTGTTCTGTGACAAGGCCATCGCCACCACCTGATGGCCTTGGGTGCCTGGGACCATCAAGGTCAGCAAAGGAAGGGAATAGTCGGCCTGGCACCCAGAAACCTTGGGTTCAATGGGGAGGGGAAGAAGAAATCTGTTTGGTTTGTCTGCTTGGTTCACAGGACCTTCAGGGCCTGATAATGAGGGAAAGGGAACAAATACATGACCTGCTTGGTCACTGAGAATGGCTGCTTGCCTCACAAAATGGCATTAGTTATGCTAAACACTTTGCCAGGGATCGGGAGCCGGGGGCACCGGTCACAGAGTGACCCTATGAACAGTTCATTTTGGTGTGAACAATTAGTTTGGTAGACATTTAAGTAACAGAGGGCTGAGTTTTACATTGGAAAGTTTGTTGACGATATTGACAAAATAGGTGCTCCCAGGAGCCTCTTAATACCAGTGACAGGTGCTGGTAACAATTAAGGATGTCTTATGCCGGAGGATTGACCTACAAGTGATTGAAAGCCACAGTGTTAACTTCTAGGCTGGGAAGAAGTTACTTAGATTAATAAAAAGATGCATTAAGAAGTAATGGAATGTGTAAACCAAAGTCTCTTAAGGCTGAATATCAAGATTGTAAAGTAGTATGCTATAGGATACTTTTTCCAAGGAATTAGTGGAAATTCTTTTTTTTAAATGTTTACTTGTTGATCAGATGAAATGCACCAATATCCAGTAAGAAGCACTTTCATATTAATGGGAGGAAGACTTCCTTTAATTTGTGTCTTCTGTGAGAGCATATGTTTGAGTTCTAGAAATGCAATATGTAGCGTAACCTCAAGTGGTGTTCCCAAAGCTACTTGAAATAGACTGCTACTTTTCACTGTCATCCTTAAGTAGGACATAGGGCCCCTAAATACCCATGGAAATTTAAGTGCAAGGAGCAAAAACTAGGCTCCGATCCAAAGCCAGTTGAAGCTGATTAAGAGACCGCTTTTGGCTACAGAGGGCTCTGGCGTAGGCCCATAGCAAGCTAGAAGTGGGTCTCAGGTGTTCAGACAGGTTTGTGGGTTTTTCTTTTGATTCATGTTTGAGGCGCTGTCTGTGATTATGGGAGATGTCCCGGTGTGTATACCACCTGAAGTGTTACGTATTTTCACTATTTAGTTCTAGAATAGTAAGTGGGTAATACTCAACACCTTAACTACACTTAATCACCACATTATATATTGTTCTGTTTTTATGGCTTGGCACTATACATTGTTAAATCACAGGTATACCTAGAGATGATATACTTATAACCATATGATATGTCTACAGCTGGAATAGAGGCAAGGAACATATTTTTACTTTGCATAGTTTGCAGTTCTTTGTTTGGCTAGTTTTAGTCTGCTTCTGACTTCTTCCCATCCTTTTAGATATTTACACTTTTCGAATAGTGGAACAGAAGAGGAGTACGTTTTTCAAATAGGAAGTGTCTGCAGAGTTGCAAATATAGGTTACATTGAGAGGTGATGGTCTGCCTGACTCAGATGATTTGTTTTATTTTACTTGTTTGCATGCTTATCTTCTATTTTAGAAATAGAAAATAAAATGTTTACATTTTATGGTCATGTTTTTTGAGAGCAGCCTAAGTTAGTTCTTTCATTTTAATTCCACTTGGCATGTTGCCCCGCTTAATTTTTCAGCTTGGCCTGAACTTTTTCTAGATGTACATAGTTATTAGCGATCTGTGTGCTGTGTCTCCACTTTCTTCAAGTTGAGAAGAGTTGGAAAGTCACTTTTGGAGTTGGGTCAAGACTTCATTCCAAATGTTGATAGAAATGTAGAGCTTGTTCTCTCTTCTAGCTAACCTAGATTGCTTATATACTGTTCACCAATAAAATTCTCTGCAGAACAAAAAAGGTTTTGAAAAACTTACCTAGCATTCTGTAAAGCATCAGGAAAAGTGGATTTCAGCACTTGAGGGTCAGAATGTTTGCATTGGTTTGGGGGGATAAATTGGAACTTGTTTTAAGTAATTTCTTTTATATTTGACCTCTAGGTTCCAGCAAGATGTGGAGTGACAGTCCGAGACAGCCTGAAGAAAGCTCTGATGATGAGAGGTCTTATTCCAGAATGCTGTGCTGTTTACAGAATACAAGATGGGTACGGTTTGTGTGTGATGGTTTTTGCTCTCAGAATCTCTTCTTGAAGTTATCCAGTATGGCCGATCCTATCCAACCTTGTGGAAGTTGTTTACAAAGTTCAGAATGATATGACACTTTGCACTAAAACAATTTGTGTCTTGATGGCATCTAAAAAGAATGACAAACATCTAGAAAAAGATTTAATCACTTCAAGAACGGGCATAATAGAGACTAATATGATCTTACAGACTGCTGGCAAAACACTCGTTAATCAAAGTCATGCTAACCAAACAAGTATTAAATAGGTTTCTTTAACCTTTTGGTTTAATTTTACTTGGTTATAGTGTATTCCTGACTATAGAGTTCCTCTGGGGAAAAAAAATAATTGAGTTTCCAGCCTTAAAAAGTTTGTAGATTTTCTTGCTGCACAAAATTAGCCATCTCTTTGGCTCTTCTATGAAACAAGTATTTTCACAAGCACTTCATTTGATCAGTAAGGTGTCAGTCACCTTAGAACCAAGGAGTTGGCCACCACTGGAGCCGATTGAAAAAGTGCGTTTCTTCTATGCAGTTTGTCCAGGGAAGGTGTGCTCTCCTTGGTGTGTGCTGAGCTTGATGTCTTGCCCTTAAAGCTTCTTGCAGTTAGAGACTGGGTAGCTGATTTCACATCTTCAGCTGGAGACCTGCAAGGGTTTGTGCGCCGGTGCTAATGAAAGGCTTCTTTACACTTTAGCGAGAAGAAGCCAATTGGCTGGGACACTGACATTTCCTGGCTGACGGGAGAGGAGTTGCATGTGGAAGTCTTGGAGAATGTGCCACTCACGACACACAATTTTGTATGTATTGGTTTTTATGGAGTGTTGAATAGGGTGAAGTCAACTTTGTACTTCAATTTAACAACTTTGAATAATATTTTGTATCTGTGGGATGTGATGAAGGTTGCAAAATAAGTTTTTAATCACAATAGCTTAAGTGAATTAGATAGAATTGTAATTGAAGTGATGTTAGTGTACTTGATCGCCCTTAAAACTTTCACATTTGGATGGAATATACCCTCTAAAATCTATAAATGGAGGGGGTTTAAATCAGCACTGCATTGCAGAGCTGTAATAATAATCTACTATTTTTGTATTGCTGTATCTATAAAATATATTCTGGGCCTCCCTGCTGGCTCTGCAGCAGCAATTAACTAATGAACTAACTATTCCCAGAGCGGTGCTGACATCATCAGTGATGCTAGCGCACAAATATGTTTTGACCTGATAAGGCACCAAGTAAAAGGAAGCTGCTAAACAGAATCCATCTAAACCGTTACAGCTACATACAAAATCCTGGAAATAGTTTTTCACATTGAGAAGAAAGACCTTTTATTTAAATAAAACCCCAAAATTTTATTTGCAAGCTGCCTAAACTATTTTACTCCAACAAGCTAGTTTGGCTATGGCTAGTTAGATGAAAGTCTAGTAGGCTTAACATTTTTTTGATAGCTGTCTGAAATTTTGATTATTACATGTAGTAATACAACTAGAATGTGTTTTTATGCCAAGTATTGATAAATTTGAAAATGAAACTAAATCATTTTTCCCCTCTATAATATGGGGATAACATCTGTTCACCCTTCTGTGATTTTAAATGTTTGTGAGTTTCGGTAGTCAAAATTGCAACTGTATATGTAACCATACATAGAAGACATATATATGAGCCATATCTGTATTTCCAGTCCTGCAAGTTTTGGATAAAAATGTCATTTGGCTACTGGAAAAATTGGAAGATGAGATAATCTTTCAGCAGCTTTTGTTTTTATAGGTTGTATCCAATTAAATTCTGAATGTTTGTGTCTAGCGTTTTAACAGTGCACTGTTTTGCTTCACTTGTTGCTGTTTTTCTTACTGCTGATGAAGTGAAGCATTAATTCCAATAAATAGTTGAAAGAAAATTTTAATGCATGAAGACTGTTTCAAAAAGGAGACAATCTTTTATGTCGGTTTGATATATAAAACTGTAGGTCTAGCATCAAAAAAGAGGCTAGTAAGTGTATTTGAGGGAGGTAAAAACAAATAGCCTATCTTAGGCTTGCAGAAGGACTCTATTTAATTATGATTATTTTTGACAATATAGGTACGAAAAACATTCTTCACGTTAGCATTCTGCGACTTTTGTCGAAAGCTGCTTTTCCAGGGATTCCGGTGCCAGACATGTGGCTACAAATTTCACCAGCGCTGTAGTACAGAAGTGCCACTGATGTGTGTTAATTATGACCAACTTGAGTAAGTAATCACAATTCTTTTTAAAGCTGAGCCTTTTATTAGGCTTACAGCTGTCAGTGATTTCTTATGTTAAAACTGTAATGCAGGAAGTCAGAGGTGCTGCCTGAAAAAAATATAGGAGCTCTACTGTTCTTATGAGAATGCATAATTCATATTCTCTCTGCTAGCTCAGACAACCAGTTCTTTTTTTTTTCTGGACTATGAAATGCTTTCTTTGAAGCATGAATGGGGTGGCTGAGCACTTGACTGTATCAGACAGGCTTCTCATTGTTCACAGTTGTTATTCTCAATCAAAACTAGTTCTTTATTATGTGATGGCTAGGGCCCTGTTTAAATGTTTAGATGTGGGTTTATTCTCTTCAACCTGAAAAAAGTGTTAAGAGACACTAGTTTAATATGGTGAAATTGCAGTTGGTTTTACAGTGATTGAAAACAAATCCATTAGAGAGTTTGGTGCTGAGGTAAGAAACATGAAAGAGAATGTCCCAAACAGTCGTGTGTTCTTGAATTTAATTATTGATCTATTTGTGCAAGTCTCTGATGTAGGTTAAGGATCTGTTGTAAACTGGCTCTGTGTTCTGTTTGATTGGTTTCAGCAGATGCTATTAAGTCTTTTAAATGACTTTCATATAAGGAATCATTTAAAATGCTAGCTTTCCCCCCAAGAATAAATTTAATTTATACTTATGTTGGTATTTGTCACTATTTCCTTGGGTTCCTCCAGGGTTTGTGCTCAGGGCTTATGGATAACATGGTTCTATCCATTTGGCATTTGGGTTTTGGCATTCCATCAGTGCAAACATTAAAATTAGTTTGTGTACTCAACATATAGGATAAGTTGTGCATTCTTGAGGAACCAGATATTTGCAATTTCAACTAAAAGATTAAAAAATTACTTTCCACAAGGGTATGTCTAAGGCATGATCTTTTGATCTTTTGCCAAGCAAATACTATTTTTAACATATCTTGCAGATTAATGTGTTAGTGTAGTCTTTATTTTAAAATTTAGAATTTGATTAGTGAGGGGGTTTGCGGTTGTTTTGGGTGGGGGGGTTCAATTATTGAGTGTTGTGTTGTGAAGCTTCTGGGCTTTGCAGAAGTTAGGCTGTTTTTGTTTTGTTCTTGCCTCACAGTTTGCTGTTTGTCTCCAAGTTCTTTGAACATCACCCCATACCGCAGGAGGAGGCCTCCTTAGGAGAGACCACCCCAGCATCTGGATCGTACCCCTCAGTGCCCCCCTCAGATTCTGTTGGGTATGACCTTATTCCTG